CTCAGTCCGGTGGAGGCCTTGGTAGCTGTGGACAATTAGTCCTTCAGACTAATCTTTTCCTTATATCCTGTTCTCTTCATTCTCCCTTGCTCCCGAAGGTTAATTGAATTTTTGGCTGTATGTGATTTTTCTCCTTATGTGACTCCATTCTCATGAGTACTTTGGATTTTATTGAATTCTCTATTTTTTAAGAACTACTGTATTTTCATGTTTGAATTTAAATTTTCAAACATGAAAGGATAGATATGTCATCCCCATTTTCGAATGGAGATTATCCAAGGTTATATAGTTAAGGACCCAATATTGGATTAGAAACCTCTTTCCCTGTTTCCAGTCTGTTCCTTTTATTAGCCCATGGGTGATGTTTGGTGGAATAGCAAGCTGATACATTTCCTATACTTAACCTTGAAACTTATTTTTGAGTTGCAAATAGATCACTAAATCATGACATTTGCGCATGTCCAACTCTTATAAAGTTTTTCTTTTTTTTACTGATACTCTCTTGTGCTTTTTGGAATTGTGGTACCGTATCATTGTTTGTTTACTTTTGTGGACCACCCCTCCCACTCCTACCCTCTCACCCACTAATAAAAGACCTCTAAATATATTGTATGGTATGGGAACTATTTTTTTAAAATGATAAGTGAATTAATTGCTTTGAGAATTTAGTACGCCTTTCTATACTGTGTAATCTTTAGAGTGTTCAAAAACAGGTAATCATCTCAGAGAGATTGATGCCACTGCATTTAGGGATCATGTATCTCTTTATCTTATTTTATATCTAGAAAGTACATACCATATCCAAATAAAGAGTTTTGTAGTCTGGCAGGTTGGGAATTATATACACAAATATATCCTTGCACATTAGCATAAATAATAATGCACATTAGCATAAATACACATTAATGTAAATAATAATTGCCTAAATCCACTGAGTGCATACTATTGTCTAGTTAGGGGTGGGCGAACTTGTTCTGTAAAGGGCCAGATAGTAAATATTTTAGGCTTTGTGGAGCTTATGGTATCTGTTGTAGCTACTTAGTTCTGCCGTTGTACTGGGAAAGCAGCCATAAAGCAATTTGTGAACAAATAGGCAAGGCTGTGTTAACAATAAAACTTTATTTTTAAATAAACAGAGTGCTGGATTTGGCTCATGGGCCGTAGTTTGCCAACCGCTGGTGTAGGTCCTCTTCTAAGCATTCTACCCAGTTAATCTTTACTACAAGCTTTTGAAGTCGATTCTGTTGTTATTCTCACTTTACATATGAGCTTAGAGAGAAATTACAAGAAATAGCCCTAAGTCACATAGTTTCAAAGTGACAGTTCTGTAATTCAGATCTTGTTTCCAGTCATACCTTTAATCACTTTTATCTCATAATGTTTTTTCATATATTTTTAATTTAACAGATATTATCAAGTCCTCATTATGTGCCTGGCACTGTTGTTAAGTACTGGAAATAAATTAGTGAATAAACAAACAAAAATTTCTAACTTCTTGTAGCTTCTTTACTATTAATATAGAATCATATGAGTATAAATAAAATATATACATAGTAAATAGAGACCAAAGGTAGGGAGTGGTGGGGACATGGTGGTGTCATTTTAAATAAAACGGTTAGGGAAGATCTCACTGAGAGCAAAGACGTGAAGAAGGTGAGAGAGCAAGCTATGGGGATATTTAGGGGGAAGAAGGCTCCATGAAGAGGGAACAGCAAGGGCAGAGACTGTAAAGTAGGAACATGCCTGTCAGATTTGAGAAATAGTGTGGCTGGTGTGCAGGGTATGGGAAGGGGCTAAGTTGTATAGGGTCTTGCAGACCATTTTACAGGGTGGTTCTAATTCTGAGTAAGATTAGGGACCATTAAAGGGTTTTGAGTAGAGGAGTGTTATGATCTGTATTCCATTTAAATGGAATCACTGTGGCTCTTATGTTGAGAATGTATTAAAAGAGGGCAAAGTCTGAAGGAGAAAGCTTACTTAGGAGATTATTGCATTAATTTAGGGCAGAGGTGATAGTGGCACAGGTCAGGGTAGTGAGAAGCGGGCTGATTTTGTGTGTGTGTGTGTAGAAGATATTGAGGGTATGCCAGTGGCGTTGGATATAGTGTGTAAGAGAAATAGTAGTCATGGATAAGGTTTTTGGCTTAAACATCAGGAAGGATGGAGTCCCCATTAACTGAAAGGGAGAAGACTGAGGAGGAGCAGATTCTGGAGGATCACAGAGGATAAGATAAGGAGTTCAGTTTTATGCATATTAGATGTGAGATGCTATTAAGATAGCCAAGTGGAAATAACAAGTAGATAATTAGGTCTGCATTTCAGATAAAAGATATCTGGGCTGGAGTTTAATGTTAGGAGTTGTGAGTGTATAAATATTAAATGGGTCCAAAAAAAATTCAGTTATATCAGATATGGGGTTGGGTTATTACGAAGTTCATAAACTAACAGGGCAATTGTGCAGAGTTAGCTGGCTTGGAGATTAGGCAACCTGGCTCCCTGATCTAAATCCTTTTGGTCCTGCTACTGTTTGGCACCACCTAGTGGCGATTATTCATTCTGGCTCAAGTATCGGGACTCTTCTGGTTCTCTGGCTAGTTTGAACTTAGAGGGCAGTGACATTTAGTTAGTTGGATCCAGTTAGTTGATTCAGGAAGATTGGGAGGAAATGGAGGATGTGAGGATACATCATTTACTTTTACACTCCTGAGAAAGTCTTAGCTGTAGTTTTCCTGCACAGCCTCACTTATACCTCCCCTACCCAAGATCAGAACTTTAGTCCACCCTCATATGAGCACAGGGGCTAGGCAGACGATGGAGGAACTAGTTACAGGTATTTCTGAATTTTAGTTATTATGGAGGTCAGAAGACAGGGTATAATCAACAAAAGAGGGAATGAAGTTAGAAAAAAACTGAGCCACTCCAATTTAAGAAGTCCAGGAGACTGAGTCGGAATAACTGATGAGATAGAAGGAAGACCAAGAGAGTGTGGTATTCCAGTGTTTCAAGGAAAATAGAGTGATCAGCTTTGTCACATGTTCCTGATAGGTCAAGAGATAGGAGGACAGAGACTTGACTGTTGGATTTAATAGTGTAGAGGATGTTGGTGACCTTGATGAACACAGTTGAATTGTGTGGGATTGGAATATGTTTAAGAGACAGTTGGAGGAAAAGAAGACAATGTGTATGGATTTTGTCTTTTTGGTGAATTGTTGTAAAAGGGAACAGAGGTATTGGGTGATAGCTATCAGGGGAAATGAGAATAAAAGGGATTTGGATTTTGTAAGAAGGTTAACATGCTGTTAAACAAAATAAGGCTTTTGTTTTTAAAAGTAATATATGTTACTTTTAGAAAATATAGTTGAAGTTGAAGAAGAAAATAAAAATAATTCACACTTCGGCCACTGAGGTAACTATTGTTAATATTTTATATATATAAATCACTTTTTTTCTCATTTTTTAATTGTGATATAATTCACATCCATAAAATTCATCCGGTTAAAGTGTACAATTAAGTGATTTTTAGGATACTCATAAGGTTGTACAACCATCAGCACTATCTAAGGCCAAACATTTTCATTACCCCAAAAAGAAACCCGTACCCATTAGCACCCACTCTGCATTCTTCTCTCCCCTTCGCCCCTGGCAACCATTGATCTACTTTCTGTCTGTATGGGTTTTTCTATTCTGGGCATTTCACAAAAATGGAATTATTTAATATGTGGCCTTTTGTGTCTGGCTTTTTTCACTTAGTGTAATGTTTACAAGGTTCATCCATGTAGCGTGCATCAGGACTTCATTCCTTTCTGTGGTAAAATGTGGTATATCACTTGTAACACACATACATACCTATACCTATAATAGCGTTTTTAACTTACATAACTGGAATCATACTTTTTATATAGTACCCATTTCACTTAATTATCAGGGCATACATGATGTTATTTAATAAACAACATAACTTATTCAACCATTATTATGGACATTGTTTAACTTTTTGTGTTTTCAGAACTTTTATAACAACCTGAGATGAACAACTTTGTGCCAGAACCTTATACACATATCTGCTTTTATCTTTTAGCAACAGTTCCTAGAAATAGATATTGATCAAAGGCTAAGAGCACTTTTTCAAGGCCTTTGGTCATATTGCCAGATTGCTTTACTGAAGGGTATACCAGTTTGCACCACTGGGAACATGTTTTTCTTATCTTAAAAACCTAAAATACCTAAAAATTTTAAGTAGGAGAAAAAGCATCTCTCTGTGTTGATTTGAATCTCTTTAACAGAAAGCAGATATACTTGAAATTTTCCTAAAGCCACCTGAAATTCTCCCTGACAAAATTGAGCTTTTCATGGCATGTTTGTTTGGAAGCATTGGAAAATACACATTTGTTTTAAAGTCATTTTGGCTGTGTCTTTTAAAAGGAAAAACTTAAATTCCTACTTTATTAAAAGCATATTAGGAAGAAGTTGGTTTTAATTGCGAGCATTTTTTAAAAAGTACATTAATGTATGTCTAGAATTATTGACTTTCAACTAGTTGCTCAGAGTTGGTAAGTTTTTGTTCTATAAAATTGATATTCTAGAAATGTGAATGTCACTCCATTCATAATTGCTTATTAGGGCTATATATTGAGAGTTTTTAGAAATAGCATGTTATAATTTAATACAACAAAAAAGTAAATGAAATGTTAGCTTTTAAATTTTGGTGTTTAGAGGATACAAGAACCCAAGTACAGTGACAGTTGTTTTGTGCAAATGATAAAGGTCATAGATTTTACTTATCTTGAAAGTTTAAAAAAATATAAGTTAAAGCCTAAAAGAGGTCATTTATAAATCACAGTTTATATGGGACATTTTGGAGACCATCCCTAAGTTTTTAATTATTTAGATCTAATTTAGATTTTCTTAAAAGTACATAAACATTGTAGGAACTCATTTTAATTTTAGTGAAAATACATGCTTTTTATTATTGTGATTCTACCAGGAATAGTCTGACTTAACTATAGACGCTTTCATTGTACTTTGTCTATGCAGTTATGACAAATAAGACAATAATTTTTCTTTTTATTGAACTAACAGCAGATTTAACCATCCTTGTCTGTCAAAATGTATTTAAAAAAACAGCTATCGTGCAGTTCAGTTGTCAAGCTATATTCCAAGATAAATTGCAATGTAGGTAGGTGGGTAGATGGAGGATTAAAGGAATGGTTTTACAGATATAGGGGGATATGTATTTTTTAATGAGGCATTTTGTAATTGCTGCAGCAATGAAGAAACAAATAAGCGATATTGTACCCTGATGTCTTACCTCATTGTATCATATCTTGTTTGGGCGTTGGCCAGCTTTTCAATTTTTTTTCTGTTTCAGATTATGCTGAGTTTTTCTTGATTTATAGGATGATCATATTAGTTTTTTAAAAAGGATTTTAGTATTGTGTTAATGAGGTGAAAGAATGACTACTACCATTAATTGTACCAACTACTGTGTTAAGCAATATATAGTATTAACTCAGCTATTCCTCTCTATTCTTCAGTGAGGTTGACACTGTCAGATTCTACTGATGAGGAACTGAGACTCAGAAAGGGAGCCCAGGGTTACTCAGTAAGGTAGAGACAGCTCATCTAGAAACTCAGTTCCATTTTAAATATAATCCTTTGTTATTTCTTATTTTATTGTTGATAGTCTATAGAACCTTTTTTGAGGCCATTTGAAAAGCTGAAGTTCAGTTCATTCCATCAGTAGAATGGTTTCTTTGTGCTACTGTGAAATAAAACCAGCTCTTTGGAATGACTGGCCAGTGTTATTCAGTGACTGCTTTAGAAATTGTTCATATTTGATTTACTGTATGCTGTGAATTCTTTCCATTGTTAAACAGTAGAAAAGCAGATCTAGATTTGTGTTAACATTTCCAAATTTGTATTTGAAATAGATTTGGCAACTGATCGGAAGCTCTTCCGCCTGGTGTCCAATGACTCCTTCATCTCCATTCAGCCTTCCATATCCTCTTGTGGACAGGATTTACCAAGGGACTTCAGTGACAAAGTGAGCCTGCCAAGTCATAGCCACAGCCACCATCACCACGTCGACCCGTCTCTTTCCAGCGCCTGTGACACGGAAGTGGCTTCTCTCGTACCTTTACATTCTCACTCTTACAGGAAAGATCACCGACCACGAGGTGTACCACGGACTTCCAGCTCTGCAGTGGCTTTTCCAGATACTTCACTGAATGACTTCCCTCTCTATCAGCAAAGACGTGGGCTAGATCCAGTCAGTGAGTTAGAATCTTCCAAGCCTCATTCTGGATCCAAGGAATCCTTGGTGGAAAATTCTTGTTTATCTGGGGAATTTCAGCTTGTTGGTGACCTGAAAAAAAGCAGTTCTCAGCCACCCACAAGAAGTGGGAAGAGTAAACCTTTGAAAGCAGACAAAAGTGTGGACAGCTTGAGGAGCCTGAGCACGCGGAGCAGTGGGTCTACCGAGAGCTACTGCAGCGGGACAGACCGTGACACTAACAGTACTGTCAGCAGCTATAAAAGTGAGCAAACCAGCTCAACTCACATAGAGAGCGTCCTGTCAGAGCATGACGAGTCTCCTAAAGTAGGAAAGAAAAGTGGTAGGAAAAAAGAAAACTGTGTTGATGCAGAGGAAAAGAGTAGCTGTACCAGTGACAAAAGGACTAGTAGTGAAAAGACTGCTTTGGAAGGGAGTACAAATAGCAGGGTTCAAGAGGCCAAGGATTCTAATACCTCCAGTGATACACACAATCAGAGAGGTCTCAGCACCTCTGCATCCGAAGACGCCAATAAAAATCCCCATGCAAATGAATTTACTTCACAGGGGGACAGACCACTTGGGAAAACATCTGAAAACAAAGAGGAGCAACAGAGTGACAAATCAGCTGTTTCAGTGGATTCAAAAATTTGTAAAGATGTTGGTGGAAACCAAAAGGAAGGGGATGTACGACCTAAGTCTTCTAGCTTAATCCACCGGACAGCCTCTGCCCACAAGTCAGGCAGGAGACGGACAGGAAAAAAACGGGCCAGCAGTTTTGACTCAAGTCGGCATAGGGACTATGTTTCCTTTCGAGGTGTTTCTGGTACCAAACCACATAGTGCTATATTTTGCCATGATGAGGACTCAAGTGATCAAAGTGACTTGAGTAGAACATCAAGCGTTCAGTCTGCTCACCAGTTCAGCAGTGATAGCTCTTCTAGCACCACCTCTCATTCGTGTCAGTCTCCTGAGGGCAGGTATAGGGCTCTAAAGACCAAACACATTCATAAAGAGAGGGGCACAGACTCTGAACACACACACAAGACTCATTTGTGTCCTGAAGGAACCGGCAAAAAGCGGACAACACGACGGACTTCCAGCACAAATAGTGCCAAGACTCGTGCCCGAGTGTTGAGCCTGGACAGTGGCACAATAGCGTGTTTAAATGACTCAAATAGGCTCATGGCACCTGAAAGTATAAAACCATTAACCACTTCAAAATCAGATCTTGAGGCCAAAGAGGGAGAGGTGCTAGATGAGCTATCTTTATTGGGAAGGGCTTCCCAGTTAGAGACAGTCACTCGATCCAGGAATAGCTTGCCAAGCCAGGTTACATTTCCTGAAGGGGAAGAGCACGATGCAGTCAGTGGAGGTGAGTAAACTACAAGAAGAGGTTTCCCTTAGAGTCACTGTATTTTCAGTACTGTTGATTAGAGTAGTACTTATTAAAATATGCTTTGTGTTAAAGTATGCCTTGTATTAATATCCTTTCTACCACTGTGTTATTAAAATAAATTAAACACAGTTCCATGAAGGAGGTGGTTATCTTAGAAAAGATTTTGGTATGAATACCAAAAAAATGTTTCTTCATTTGTATTATTTGAATATATCAATTTGTTCTTGATGGCGTTCACCTTTTTTAAACCAGTTGCCACCTATTAATGTTTTGCCAGGAATAACAACAATTAACCCCTTCCTCTGTACAACAATAGCAACAGCAAAATGTAGAATTATGTTAGGGCACCAAGCCATTTCTAGTAATCTCTTATATGGTCTGTGCCACTGCAGTTCAGAATTAGATCACTCAAACTATCTAAGATTGTTCCAAATACTACTTTGGCTCTGATTATGAACTTGGAAAATTTGTGGCTTTTTTTGTCTGGTTTTATTTCTTGCTTCCTCAAGTTTCAGGCATATTTTGTTTTTTCTGTAACTTCATGCTTTTCTTAAAAGCAAAGTTTATTAAATCAGGGTTTGGACTTTTTATAGACATTTAGTATCCATTAGTGGTTGTACGACGTTCCCTATGGTAACAGTGAGGGTGTTTTCGTTGAAGTAATAGTTTATTTATTATTTTAGGTTTATGGAACATGCAAAATTTCATAGGTGATTTTATATTGTCATTGAGTAATGACCTTTATTGTGTTTATTTTAGAGTTGCCCCCCACCCCCGGCTGTTGTCTACTATCCAGAATAGTTTTTTCATTCTGTTCTGGTTATTATGGAATCTGATTCTTGAATAGAATCAGAAGAATTAGATTTTCTATTGCTGGCACCTTAGCTTTTTTATCCTCCATCTACACTCCCATTAATTAAGCTAATATCTTTAGTTATCAGGTTTATAGTCTGTTGGTCTTATTAAATGTCTCTTATTAACATCTCTTACTATAAAGAGTTCCGTTGGATTTTTTCTTTGTACAAATGCCTGAAACACAAGGGAGCACACTTTCTCTTGCAAAGAATTTTAATTTCATCCAGAATATTTTTAGAAGTTCATATTGTGGTAAACCTGTTGTTTCTTTTGGTATAGTTTCTAACAAAGATTTAATTTCTACTGGGAATGTAAAGAAATGATCTTTAGTATTTTAGAAAGAAAATAGTTTATCAAACCTAAGTATTAAGAACTAATTATATCTGAAGTAATTATAACCATTTGGTGACCTGGATGTCTTTCCATTTTTTATAAAAGGTTTGAAATACTTCTAGTAGTTTCTTGCACAAATCATGTTAGATATCTTCATGATGTGCAAGAAACTATTGGGTTTTAAGATATAGCTTAATTTTTGAAGTTTCTATCAGAATTATAAGAATTAATGTATATTGCTGAAAAGTAAATAAATGAAAATGAAAATATGTAAAGAAGCTATGGTAAATCTCTACGTCTTTGTGTTTAAAATGTCATTTCCTTTTCATGAAATATGTGGAGCATTGCTTTTCTTTTTTTTAGACAGTATATGGAAGCTATTATTAGCATCTTAATGTAGTTCTTTGACTTAATATAAGTGCCCATTTTTCCAGGTTCCAACTTTTATTTTGTTTGTGTTCTTAATTTAAAAAAAAAACCCACAAAAACCTGAGTGAATGTTAATAAGAAACTAATAATGAACTAAAAATTCCCATGCACTTTGGTGGAAGAAATAGTCTTTGGACTGTTGAAAAACATATTTATTGCCAAAGGAAGGCATTATAGGGTCTATTTTTATTTGAGCTTATTGTATTTAGAATAAAAATAAAAACAAATCTAGACTGCTTAAATGTGTTGAGGATTTATAATTTGTTGGTTTTCATCACATTTTGTTAAAGGTTTGTTTGGGCTTTTGGAAGATTGGAGGTGGTGGGAGGATGGTATTTGTTTTGGTTCTCATGATTTAAAAATTACATAGCATCTTAAATACTGAGTAAAGATATTTGTTTATATTAACATTAATTATCATGCTACTGTCTGATGATTTAGGAGAAGTTTTTCTTGGCTATCTATTTTGCCTTACACGCTGTACTGCTGAGACATGTCAACAAAACAGAGGATACTGCCTATGTGTGCAGAAACCATAAATGGATTTCATCCTAATGAATTTGGCGGTGTTGATGGGTTCTCTGACAGTTTCTTTTTCTTTTACTTTTAAGACAGGTGGTAGCAGTAGCATAGAGGGATGGAATTTAGGAAATGTACTTTAAAGTACAAAAATAAAGTGCTCTAAAATAGGAGGTTATCTAGTATAATAATGTGGAGTTGTATACCCCTGTTAACATATAGGCTCCACTATAGTTGTGACTCTTAGGAAAGCTATTTACCTTCTTTAAACCTCGGCTTTCTCGTGGTAAAATGAGGTGGTAATAGTATCTATTTCACAGGATTGTTGCAAAGATTAAATGAGTTAATACGTGTAAAATGTTTAGAACAGTGCCTGGCACATAGTAAATGTTTAATAAATGCTAATATTACTATTATCTAAAAGGCCAGTTTGTATGCTACTCACCTGTATCCTATCCCTTGTTTAACTTTATTTAGTAGTGTGAAATTAAAATAGAAAAAAAGATTAAATATAGAAACATGAGATATTTTAATTGTGCCATTGTGAAACTTGATAATAGTAAAAATATCTGGATTTCTAACTTATTACATAATGCTAACAGAAAAGCATTTTTTAAACATCTAAATATTCTAGGAATATGGATTTAAATCTTATTTTAGGAGCAATCTATCATATAACTCCTCTTTTGATATTCAGTCACATAATAAGTGATTGCTGGTATAGGACCTCTCACGATTAATCAAGTACTTTAGTTAAGTTGGAATTCATCAATAATGTTGTTGGATTGCCTAGACAGGAATAAGTTTTAAGTTCAAACTAAGGCATTTTCTGTTGTTGACCATTTACTTTGCATTTAATTTTTTATAGCATGAGGCGTATCTTTAATAGTTTATAAATAATATTTCAAGAATAAAATTTATAGGCAACTTATAGTGATAGAAAGGTGTCCTGTTTTTTCTAGCCTGTACCTGTATTTAAAAAAACATGTTCTTTTGAGTCATTTAAACTCATTTTCTGCATGATTCAATACTATTATTACAGCATATTTTCTGTATCAATTCACATATTATAAAGAACACCCAGAGTGGAAAAGTTTGTTTGCTTTATTATTCTTTGTACTTTTTTTCTGAAATTTTTTACCTCTATTTCTCTGTTTGAGAAAATTATTTTAAATATGATGTTTGGTTCACTACTTTTTAAGCATGTAATAGAATCCTATTATAATATTGTCTATGTTGGGAACCAGAGATAATCTTTTGTTAAAGGATATTATTTTATTCAAATAAAAGCCAAATCTTCTTGGCACAATTTATGAGAGTTTGTGCCATACATGTAAATTGAATGGCTTTTATTTTGTACCCAACTGTCATTGAACATTAGAAAGAAAAAGCAAAGACCGCTGTATAGGCAAGAAAATGTGAATTAAAGCATTTTTACTTTACTAAATAGAGGGATTCTAAATTCTAGTAAACTTAATTTTCTGATTTCCCAGTCCACATGATAAGTTAGAAGTAAAATAGTAGAAGAGGAAGGATGCTGGTAGAGGGTAAAGCAGTGACAGCAGAAGAAATGCACAGCTAACACTCAGGTAGGAACTGGTGGGACTATACAAATCAAAGCAAAAAGTATAATAGCGTGGGGTCATTAAGAGCAGGGAGGACTATCTTAATAGTGGTCAAGGACATCATGATATCATAATATTGTATTATAGTGTAATACAATAATCAATGTATATATGGCTAATCCTGATTCACTAAGAAAAGATTATATTATGTTTAGTGTATACTGTGAAGAAGGCCTACACACATAAAGCAGCATAGAAGAATGCTCATTAAATATAGTAAAACAGGTTTGGGTACTTCAGTTACTTAAGAAATTGACTTCACTTAGAATATTACAAAGGAAAGAGATATTTTATTAATCAGGCAAATAAATGTATGTGTATAGAGTTCCCCAAATCAGCCCATCCCTGATTCTGTGAGGTACAAATAATTGTTAAGGTATTTTTCTTTCTAGCAGTGTGGAATTCTGGAGAAGGAATCAAAACCCTTACATTTTAATACTACATTTAATTACTGCCTGAGTACTCTGGTAAGCCATTAAATCTGTGCCTCATTTCCTCTTTTGTAAAACAGGAATAATAACCATTCAGGCCTGCCTCACATTTAATTATCAGACTGTCGTGAACTTAAATTTAATGAGTTTAGATGTGTAAAAGTGATTTGTAAATTGTAGATTCATTTTGAAAACTAAGACAGTGGTGTCTTTTAATCATTTATAAGAAAGTTTTCCTTTTCAAATACACATTGTTTCAAATATATGTTCTTCACTAACGACTCCTTATTATAAGTCAAGTCTCCTGAAAATATATGCAGAATTGTATCTGAGTGCAGTTTTCTGGGAGAGGGTGGCTATCTTTCATCCAATTCGCAAAGGATTAAAAAAGATTAGAAACCACTGATGAAAGTAAGTAATTCTTGGGCTATATCTTTTTGGACTTTTCTTTGTGAAATATGACTTGAGAGCACCATTTAATTTCTTGAAACCATTTTGTCTACGCAACTGTATTTGGCTGCTGGGATTGTGGAAAATACCAGGAAGGACATGGCAATTCTCTTTAACTGAAGACACAGCTAGTAATTTTGTTTTTGTTTGCTGCTCTTTGTTTAGTTGTCAAAAAGTCGAATAGTCCTCTAAAATGTGTTTGCAGATGGGAATTATTTTAATTTCGAATTGATCCTTAGAAGTTGTACAGTAGGTTCTCACTGTTCTTTGGCCTTTCAGAAAACGATGCTTGTAAGCATTTCTTTCTGTATTAGAACAAAATCCTTGCATGCTCAACTCATATTTAGCATCATTGTTGGCTAAAATGGAAACTGAAACAAAAGGGAAAAAATACAGTGAAACCTGTGAGAGACAGAACTCAGCGGGACTGCCTTGTGTTTTCAGGTCTCACAAGTTTTCCACCTCTGACAGGGTGCCGTCTTACCATTTTTCTGTCATTCTCTATTAGTGGAAAGTATTTGAATTTTCATTCTCTGACTGGTTTCCACCTTACAGGTTCTGGTTTTCATAGGTTTTCCTGTATATAGATAAAACGGATTTTATGCTTGGGCTTAATATTGATACTAAAGTATTTCAGATTTTTTTGGAAAATCATTTGAATATTTCTTTGTATAGTAATTTTATTTTTAAGTAAAGTATTTTTTACCTTAATGAATCCTTCAGTGCATTTTAGAATGCTTGCAAATATCTTTACTTTTTTCTGAGATATATATACTTATTTGTTTCATACATTGATCTTGTTTATTTAAAATTTAGTTTCCTAATAGCATTTTGCTTCTGATCTATTTGAGGTACCAAAAATTCACGTTTATTTTCACGATCCTCTCTAATTTATTCCTCTGTTTCCTACAATAATTGCTTACCACTGGAAAAAAAAAAAAAACTTTTTTGAATAGTTTCTTCTGTCTAAATTTTTATTAATTCATCAATTCATTTAATAGCTGTGAGCTTTGGCAAGAGGCCAGGCATAGCTGTACATAACAACCAGAAAGTAAGTCATTGTGTATGGATCCTTTCACTAAGCAATCAGCTGTTTGATTGCAATCATTTTTAATGGTGTCTTCATTTCTACACATTTATATCATCAACTTTTGAATTTTTGAGATAACATTTTTTTCCTTAGAATTTGTAATCGTAATTCCCACCTTGCCAAATTTTGCTCTTTTGTGCATTCCAGCCATCCTGAAAGTATATTAGTGCCTTTAATACTTTTTTCTGTTTTCATTCACAGGGTAAAAATGAACTGTTAGGATATTGTTTGATTACCTCTATATAAAAATAAATAGTTGCATTAAAACAATTCAGTATAGAATGCCTAGAGTTTACCTTAAGGAGCTCTGGCGGCACGATGGTTAAGCGCTTGGCCACTAACAGATAGGTTGGCATTTCAAACCCACCCAGCGGCTCTGCAGGAGAGAGACCTGGTGATCTGCTCCTGTAAAGATTACAGCGTAGGAAACTCTATGGGGCAGTTCTGTGTCACATGGGGTTGCTATGAGTTGAAATTGACTCAGTGGCACCCAATAACAACAGGAAGAGTTTTTCTTAACTTATTGAAATAAATGGGAAGTAACTGCTGAGGTGAGAGGTGTATATTGTGGATTTTACTTCCTTTGTGATCTTTAGGAACAGATAAACCACAGCAGTATTATAGATGTCCTGGTATCTGTGTCTTATCCATGAATTGCACTTCGTAACTTAACAAATGTTTAAACTTAATTGAACGATTGTATCATTACCCCAAAAGTAAAAAGCCAAATTATCTGAAGTTCCTCTTAAACTTGTTATGATTGTAAATTCAGTACTTTGACATATTCTTAACACCAATAAAGAAATGATTAGAAAGTCAAGCCTGTTACAGTTTGGGAGGAAAAAATAGAAAAATACACAACTATCTAAATATATGTTCTTGGAAGTATTCAACATCTGTCTTGTCATCATGCCCTTTGAATCACTTGAGTGTTTTTTCTTTTTTCTTAACCTACACATGGGTAAAAATTGGTTGTACTAATGACTATGGAAAGAGTGCTAAATTTTCACTATTTGCATTTTATATTGTCACTATTAAAGTATTTAATTTCATTCTTTTTTGACAGAAGATACTGGCTTTTAAGCAACATCAAAATGCTAACTTTTAAAACAGTTTTAAAAGTATTTTTCCCCTCCGCTGGTTCCCTAGTTAAAAGTTTTTTCTTTTCTTTCTCCTATAAAGTTAAAGGATTCAAAGAATGTTTATTACAATTAACTAGGTTTTCATCAAGCATGACTATAACTTACATGACTGTATATGTTTATAGCAAATTATTTTAAGCTCAAAGACATTTTTCCCTTGTCTCTAGTGGAAGTAGACCCTTGCTGAAACCTACTCCAAATAGAGATGTTCTACATAAGTAGCATATTCCCAGTTTAGGCTTAGGACATGGTTTAGTCTTACTCGTTGTGACCACAAATTGTAGCATAGTGTTTTCAGTTAAATGCGTGATCCTAACTAACATTAGAGAAGTTGCTATATTAAACATTGAAAATTCTTTTAACTATAGGTATCTATACCTAGAGTATTATAATGGCAGTAATGATTACTCCATTTTAATACATTGTTCAGTGGATGCCCAAACTTTCATCTTGATGTGTTTCTGAGACTAATTAGGGAAATAAGTAATGTAATATGTAGTTATTTTGCAAATAGCAATATAAATGATTTTTAAATAGCAAAAAATAAAAGATTGGTGTTTTTTGAAGATGGAAAAGGACACTTGGACTAAAAATGGACAATGTAGTTTGTCTTTTTGTCCCAGTACTATGGACTGCTTTTACTTGAAATTACCACTATTGAGTCTTCAGTAGACGGAAGATAATACAACTGTCTCCTGTTTCCCTGTTTCCTATTCTTAGTATTCAGTGATCATATATTGTGATTTCTAAATTCTTCAGAATAATTTTAGTATATTTAATGTTTCAAATTATCCTCTATTAATTACATAGGAATAAAGTTCATTCCACTTTTTTGGTTGAAATAAAATATCTGTAACTAGAAAACATGTTGGAAAGTTTCTTAATGAAGCTAGATTAACCTATAAAATGAGTAACAGTTTTACAGTGACAGAATAGAAATCTTGAATGTAATTTCCCAAAATAAGTCTTGAGTTTTAGAACAGTGATTCAGATTCCATGCCCTGACAGCCTTACTGGTGTCTAAGAACTGTTCGCAGGGATACCGGTCACTCATCTGATTTTTCATTTCTTTCCTCAAGTAGCTTGTTTTCTGTTTTGCTTTGTTTAACTCTTCATTCCAGTGACTACCTGACTGCCCTGCCAGTGTATGTTTTCCACTTTGTAACAATGCTGGCTGCAGTTTCCTTTTATTGAGGTCATCATTGTTAGGAATAGGCAAAGTATGCAATATGATTGTGGTTACAAAAAGGCAACCTTGACTTTCTAGATCAGTGCTGTCCAATAATAAAATTTTCTCTGATAATGGAAATGTTCTATATCTGCACTTTCCAATATGGTAGCCACTAGCCACATGTGGCTATTAGCACTTGAAATGTGGCCAGTGCCTCTAAGGAACTGAATTTTTAATTTAATTTAAATTTAAATCATCACATATGGCTAGTGGCTACCATATTGGACAGCATAGTTCTAGATGACCAGATTTAATCAACATCATTTATTTCCATAGGTCATACATCATTTTTACATATGTGAGCTTTTACCCCACAAATAACAGCTTTTTTAAATTTAAGGGAATTTCCGTGTGTTTGGAAAGAATGTTTCTGTACTAATTTGTTTTGCCTTTATGCATATTTAGATCACTAGGAAACATAATTATATTCACATGGATGAAAATCATTTTCCATTTTGTTTCAGAAATCCAAATCAGTCAATTAGTGTGGTTTTATAAAATTTCATATAATTCTGTAAAACCATTGTTGTGATGTTCTCATTGTTGTATACTCGGTTTTAGTTTGTACTCTACTGCTTTTGGATTAAGTTTCTATACTTGCCATTTTGCTGATATTTGCTTCCTTATATTGAGGGAACCAGTGCAGGGCATAGAGTTGAATGAAGTTTGGTGGCAGCAATGAACTTTACAGTTAAGATGTATTCATGCTGTCTTGAATTCAAATTTAACAAACTAGATGTGCAACCGAGCAGTGGTTTCATTTAATGCTGCCAAAATTGTGGCACAGGATAGTGTGAGATAAGTCTTAACCTCTGCCTTACTCCTTGGTTATGGAAAATGAAGTACTGTGTTTGCTGCTTTTAGTATCCTCGTGAGAGGAGAAACTAATGCCCCATTCTTCTTAGTAGCAGCTATCAAATACTGTACTTTTAAGGTCAACTTAATTAAAGGGGAAGTAGAAAAATGTGGGACTAAGTAAAGCAACAGTCATCTTAAAATAGGAAACTGAGGTTGAAGAGAAGATGGTGAAGCCCGATAATAGAAACATTATTTTTAAAGAGGCAATGATACCTTTAAATAAATAACACATACTTTTGTGTGCTCCTGGATGATAGGTTAACAGAGCACATACGAGAACAATTTGGATTAATTAGACAAGTTCCCTTTACCGGTGAGGGTGGGAAGGCAAGGGAAAGGCAGGCTCAGCTGCTATTTACATCTCTGACCTAGGCTCCTATTTGACCTAAGTCTGTCTTGATGCAGCAGCACAGGCCAGCGAGGAGGCAGTGTCATTTCGCCGTGAACGCAGCACATTTAGGCGCCAGGCAGTACGGCGCCGCCACAATGCAGGGAGTAACCCTACCCCTCCTACATTGCTCATCGGATCACCCCTAAGGTATGGTATTTTAAAATTCCACCAAGTTTAGCATGCATGTAACAGACCTTCTAACCTGTTCTGTCAGTCCCAAGAAAGCATTTGAAGAGCTTGTTTTCCTTTTTATCTTCCAGTTTCCCTTCTATACCTTTACGCTCTTTAGGCTTTATCTGCATGTGATCATGAGCCTATTGCATTATGCATGCTTATGTTGCACTGTTTAAACAAAATGATCAGATTGGTTAAGCCAATTATAAATTGCAGAATTACCTTAGGGCAGTTACAGAAATGTAAGTAGAGGCCTTAAGTCAGCTTTTCATTTGTTTTCTATGCCAAGTGAATAATAATAATGCAACATCTTTCCCCAACATCTTGACAGTGTTTAATATGAACAAATATGGGACTGAGTAGTGAGTTTGTTGAGGAATCACAGATGGCTCACCTCAACTTGATAAGCCAGTTTGCTTATGTATTTCACAATAATATATATGTTTTATTTTATATGTCTTAAAAAATTGATATCTTTTATAATCACCAGGACCTAGTAAATGACAGGGAATTAAAATATTTGATTTATGGTAAAATATGGTGTGTACATTTGTATTGAATTCTCAACTTTTAATAGTGTCTGGAACAAAAAGATTTTTGTTGTTTCCAAAATTCCTCATCAAGAAAGCATCCCTTTATAACATTGGAAATAATTTTTCATTACAATTTCATATTTTATCCTCAAATGTAATCAGTCCATGCCTTGAATTACAAATGTAAAATTTATTCAAAAGACTTGTGCTTTAATTCAAGAATACAAATATGAACATAAATACATGTGCTTAATTCAGCACTGCACATATTATACCATATACTTTTATCAACCTCTGTGTCTAGAAGCACTGTTACCCAAATTATTTTTCTACCACATTTTAATTTGAAACTCAAAAGTAGGAGCATTTGATGAAATACCTGCTCTAGAGTGCATGGTAGGTTGGAAGAGATAAACCCCTTACACTGCTAAAACCTTGTTCTTGATAGTAGTAGAATCCTATTTATTTAAATACTGCTTTATTTATATTTTCCTGGGTTTTAAGACTTGATTATATTTCTGGGTTTTACATTATAATCAAGAACGTCACTTTTTGTAGGTCATGTTCCTAATTAACCCTGCAGTAATGCATAATTCTGTAAAGAGTAGTATGGATTAGTTTAAACAGTATTTAAAATATAAAATATAATATTAAAATACAAAAAAAGCAACCAGTGCAAAGAAACATTTGGTCTGGAAATCTTTCCTGAGCACGTTTGCATTTTGTGAGCCCTCCTCTTTTATTCTCTCCCCACCTCCTTTTCTTTTCTGCCTGAAGGCACTTTTCTCTCTGCTGATGAATTTGAGACACAGACCAGCATGCAGAAAGAGCTCAGCATTTCATTTTAGTTTTTCTATTTTGTTTTTAACCTCTTCTTTTTGCCCCGTGTATACTTACAATAGTCATCTTTGCTTTCCAACTCACCCCATGTTGGTATTTCTGAAACTTTTTTTTTAACCTTCTCTTTTTAGTCTTTAAAATCTTTTCATTCTTTCCTACAAATGAAACTGCTGGATCCCACTCCCTAAACCAATGTAGACAAATTAGCTTTTTCTCTGCCTGGTGGAATATTGAAGGAGCTGTGTTCTGCTCCAGCCAATCACAGGATTTCCCAGCTTTTCTAGGGTTTTAAATACATCATCATCCAAATGAGGTTAAGGTATGAAACTTACTTGTAAAGAGTCCAGATTAAAATTTTTGGAAAGTAGTCTTCCAGTAGTTAGAATATAGTTTTTGTTGAGGTTCTAGGAATATTTCTAGTATAGAGCTTACATATATTTTAAATGAGCTGACCTCATTATGGGATAAAGTGAGATAAATTTAGCTGTGAGGAATTAGGAGAAACATCCATTTATTAAAGTCGTTTTTGTAATTGCAGAAGTGATCAGCTAAAATGTATTGGTGTTATCTCTCAGTGTGAGTTACAGAATAATTATCCCATCTTTAAATATTGGATGGCATGGTCATGCAAAATTTGAAAAACTCATTTGCAAAAACAAGTGGAATAGATGTGGGGATACTTTAATTACAAGTACTATCTAAATCCTGATAAAATCTACTAACTTATTTTAAACTTTAATGAATGACTTAAGGAATTTACAATCTAAAAAGCACTGAGGCTCTTGTGCATCTTGGTAAAATATATATTATTAAGAATGGGAATCATCAATTTCTTCACAAGGAGAATTGGGATGTATTTTATAGTGTCCATTAGAATATCCTCTTCCAGAATTATTTTGAAAAGTATTTTTTTCATTAACTTAGTCTCACAGGTGGATTTTGTAGGCCCTCGATAGTTCTTCCCGGTTTCTAGAGATAAAACAAAGATGAATATTTAACAATTTTATTAATTTTGATAGTCATAATTATAGTTCTATATTTACCTACCTAAATGTGATATCTTTTAGAACTCTAGTTAATGAACTGGTATCAAAAGAAATAAGTGCATTTTGGTGAAGGAGGAAAAACCTTTAGTGTAGTCTTAGATTTATTTTTTAAAAAGTAAGATTGAAATATCTATGATAAGTAAGTTCGTAGTCATAACCGAGATTGTAGTACTCAGGAATAAATCCACCAAATATTTATTGTTTGTGCACTATTTTCAAGAGACTCTTCTGGGTGTTCTCTGGAATCTGGAGATACAAAGCAATGATGTGGTCCTGCTCTTAGAGTTTACTTTTAGCTGGGGAGACGCATAGCTTTGTATAAGACAGTATAAGGCAGAATGTGTCAAATACCAAATAAATAGTACAGAGGAAAGAAAGACTAGGGCCAACTGTATTTTTCTATCATTTAAATTAGAAATATTAATTACTAAGATTTCGTGTCAGTGATGCTATTGATAGCTGATAGTTATAGACCTAAATTTTACCTTTCCTTTTGCTGTGTTGTGAAACAGTTGCTTTTTCAAACTAACAGTTTGGCATTTAATTGATACTGTCAAAAAGATTAATTCATGCCAAATATTCGCTAGTTGAAGGTGAAGTGCAACCTTCCCAGAATATGCTTCCTAACACTTTCTACATAAATGATAGGCTTTTGTTGTTGCTGTTGAAGGACTTTGAAAACAGGAGTTTTTTCTCTGCCTGGTAGAATTCTTGCCTTCCATGGCGAAGACTTGGGTTTGATTCCTGGCCAGTGCACCTCAAGCACAGCCATCACTCATCTGCCAGTGGAGGCTTGCATGTTGCTGTGATGCTGAACAGGTTTCAGTGGAGCTTCCAGGCTGAGACAGACTAGGAAAAAAGGCCTGACTATCTATTTCCAAAAAATCAGCCAATAAAAACTCTGGATCACAACAGTCTGATCCTTTGTGCATGGGGTCACCATGAATCAGGGTCTGACTGACGGCAGCTGATGGCAGCAACAGCAAACGTTTTATGACTAGCTTTATTTTAATGTTTAAAATCTTGACATTTACAACTACATCGATTTTGACTCATTTCTTTTGTTTCTTTATTCTGGAGTTGATTTTAGTGCATTGTCTAATTTACAGACTTTTTTGTATATTTGGTTATATATTGTGCATCTTTGTTTAAGATTAGTGTGTTTTGAAATATGCTCACCTTAAAATACATCTAACTGCCACATAGCACCTTTATTTATGAATTTAAGTGAAAAAAAATTGATAGAAAAATTTGTTGAGTACATACTTACATACTCTATAAAATCTGCAGTCTTCAGAACCTGAAGGGATACAGCACTTGAACTATTTAAACATATTTTTCCTGTTTTCTCCTTTGTGAAGTTTATTCATTTTGGTGAAGTCTGTGGAGAAGTTTATATATCTTCCAAGGAGGAATAACCATCTATATTGTTATATACAAATTTATTTGAATATATTAGTTTTGATTATATTAGAAGATATAAACATACCTAATTATACTAGTTCCCAAGATCATCTCTTGATTTATGTCTATTGGACAAAAACTCTAGTCCAAAGAAATTATTAAACAAATATTTTTATAGCTATGGCTTAAAAAATAATGCCAGAAAGGATTGAAAAGTCAACATTTTACAAACATACTTATTTAATTTGTTATATGCATTCCTATGCTCTATGCATTATACCTTTCAGTGGTCTAGAAGAAGCTTGAAAAATGGATGTTCCAGGCAGCATTGTTTCATAAAAGTTTCTGTGATGATGGAAATGTTCTATAATCTGCACTGTCGTCCAGTATGGTAGCCACTAGCTGCTAGCTACTGTCCATTATGGTAGCTACTCGCTACTGCTCAATATGATAGCACTTGAAGTATGGTTAGTATGACTGAGGAACTAAATTTTTGGTAAACTTATATAGCCACATGTTTCTATTATATTGGACAGTGCAGTTTCAGAGTGTATTCTGTTGCCATAACCACAGGCTTAATATATAAAGTATTTTCTACCTAGCATATTATTTTATGGTTATTTCAAATTATAGTTCCCTTCTCTGTCTACAGCACATGAGCTGTTCTTTTATAGTTATCAGAGAAACCATTACACTGATTTGAGAGGGTTAAAGAGAAGTTGATACTCAGGAAAAATGATAAAAATAACTGAATGAGGCCATCCTAGCTACAGTCTTTTTTTTTGAGAAGTCTAGTAATTTTAGTAACAGGCCCCAGGTTTATTCAGAGTAAACTTAAGAGGACAGAATGCTGAGTGCATTGAATGTCATGTAGAGAATGACATATAGTAATTATACTCAGAATGTTTGCATGGGTTGCATCAGTTTATATTTGGATAAGTACTGTACTAAGGACATTAAAATTCATAGTATGAAAATGCATAAATATGTAAAAATATAAAAAGCTTTAAGAATAATATCATTTCCTAATTTTAGATAATTTATAAATTTTATGGTTTTAAATAAATACATGTATCATCATAAAATAATGAGTATTTAATATTTTTTATAAAATGAAAGAAAAACTCCCATGAGAAAATACTGGCTTACGAATCACTTTTAAGATTTTCTGATTTGATGGGTTCTTCTTAATGAGACTACAGCATGGATTGGAAAAGGAAATAAAAATTGTTAAGGGAATATAATTATTTGTAACTAGCACCTTTACATAAAGCCTATGGCCTTATTTCAGAAGTATGTAGGCTTTTCATATATAATACTTTATATTGATTGTCCTTCTGCTGCATTTACATTTCCTTTAGTTCCGTTAGTGTTTGTTAATCTGGTTCCTTGCACTAGTTTGTAATTTTCTTTTGATTCAGAATTGGAATCTTGGTTGCATTTTTTAAAGATTCTTTGGTTTTTGAGTGCATAGAAACTATTGTGAATTTGAGATGCTGGAATGTTTGAAAGAACAATTCTAGAATTATTTATTATAAAGTTGTAAAGATAAGTGCATATTTAACTGAAAAGTAGGGTTATCTATTGGGGACCAGCTATAACCCACATATATTGAATGTACTTGTGATTCTTCTTTGCTGCTTTCTTTTTCCTTAGTTGGATTGAGTGGAAAAAAGTCACTGATTGATTGAGTTAACAGATAAGCTCAATTGTTTACTGTGTTCATTCTGATCATCACTATGAATCATTTTGAGGGACCAGATTTAAGCCAACAGTGTAATCTGTATATTTTACAAAGCTTGTTGGCTCTTAGGTTACGTTGAAAAAGTTTCTTTTTGAAATCAGTTTTCTATATTGACTTCATTCTAGCTATTGTTTTCTCTTTTCTTCCCTGTAATGTCTCCCCAATCCATGTTTTTTCGTAGCCTTCAAGATGGTCAGCAAGGCCAGCAGTCCACAGCCCAGGTCAAAGTCCAGTCCCGCCCCCCTTCCCAGGCTGCAGTGCTCAGTGCTAGTGCCTCCTTGCTGGTGAGAAATGGGAGTGTCCACTTAGAAGCATCACATGACAATGCATCTGCTGTAGGCGGCAGCAGTTTGCACGATGAACTTGGTATGCAGGCCTTATGTAATCTTGGTCATACGAAACTTTAATGCAGCAGATGATGGGTAATGATTGCAATTCTTTCTTTAGATAGCTTCATTTTAGAACTATGTGTGAGAGCACTTTTTATAGGATTTACCCTGTGTATAAGGAAAATTTGACTTTTGCCTTTTCCTCTTTTTCTCTCTATTCTTATCCTACAATTTTTTTGAGTATGTCCATTATTAATAAGTGCTTTAAAGTATTATTGTTCGTGTTTTAGTGTTTGGCAGTTCTATTATTCCCAGGTGGGGAGATGTTGATTTTTTTTTTTTTTTTTTTAATGATTTTCATTAATCCTTAATTTCTGTATCCGTGTGCAGTAAGAAAGGGAAAAATGCTTTCTAATGGCCTATGACTATAGAATTTTTCTTTTAGTATTCTGTATTCCACAATCAGTGTCCATCACCTGAAATACAGGATTTATTGTAATTCTAAATGCAGAGGACATTATGGTTCTGTACTAACATTCAATAATAACTTTTATAAAGCTTATTTTTTCCCATTAGTAAACCTGCAAATATGCATATAAATTATTGACTAGTTAATCCTCAGAGGGGAGGTATAGGTCAAAACCTCAGTAATACCTATCCACACAAATACTTGCTTTGTGCATTATTTAAGGACAGTATTTTATACTGCTTGGTTTCTACTTCTTTGTATAATCCAGCTTTCTTGTGTTTGGAATGCAGGTTAATAATGATTTAAATAAATATAATGATGACAAAAGTCTTGTTCAAAAATAGGCGTTCAAAAGCATTACATTGAATCATTTATGATTTTGTTTTATCCGTGTTACACATACCTTTTATTAATAAAGATGATAACTCAGTTAATGCTTTGACTAGAAAGATATGGGGTATAAAGTACCCAAACTAAGTATAATAAAATTTCATATGCTGTCTTTTCATTTGTGGGCTGGAATGGCACAGTAGTTAAGTGCTGGGCTGCTAACCGAAAGATCAGTGATTTGAACCCACCAGCTGTTCTTCGGGAGAAAGATATGGCAGTCTACTTCCATAAAGATTTACCAGCCTTGGAAACCCTATAAGTTCTACTCTGTCTTGTAGGGTTGCTGTGAGTTGGAATCTACTCAATAGCAGTGGGTTTGATTTGGTAACTGTTCATTGACTCTCTTTCTGTTGTATAAAAATAGTTACGGAGAGATCATGGTAAGTGTGTACCTATGCATATTGATGAAAATAAGCATCTTTAGCAAATTGTACAGAAACTTTAAAATGGTTATCTAAGATATTTACAGCATTAGAATGTATGATGATTTCTAAAAAAAAATGAGAAGGCAATAAAGCATTTTAATTTTAAATTTAGAATGCTTTTGCTTTTGAATTTATAATTTGGAGAGGCAAAGTAGTCTGTGTTAAGATGGTGCTTGAGAGAGAGTAAGGTAGACTTCAGTTTAGCTACTTGCTTTGACTTAAAACAATGATACTTTTTAGTTGCAAGTATATTCAGTCAAGTAATAATGTCTTTATATTAATATCTCTCTCCAGTTAACCCAAAGTTCTTATAGACCGGAGGTACATTCATTGGTGAATATAAAATTAGAGTCACCATCACCATTGTGTGTTCATTGGCTTTATGGCAGTAGATTAAGATAAAAAGCTTCATTCTTCATTTTGATCCATTTTGGATTCTTAGACTTTTGTCAGATCTAGTATAAAATGAAACAGCAGAAGGTTTTCCTCTATAAAGATACTTACTGTGCTCAAAAAGCTTGTTAAGCAACCTTTAATTGTAAAGTCCCATCCTAAAGCCACACACAGATTGTTGAAAGTACGTATATATGGACTGTCTTGCCAGGTCTGAAGAAAAGAAAAGCCTTTTCTGTTTGGAAGTGATTGTAGCATGTACTGATGGATATTCAAGATATTCTCTTGAAATTTGGGTTTTACCTTTTGTGTTAACTGCCTTCTGATAGCTAGTTATTGGCATGTGTAGCTGAATGCTGCCGAATTGAATGCTTAGTAATAGTAAGCACAAAACGATGGGAAGTGTATACCTATTCCATAGTGCATAAAGTTGGCCAGAAAAGATTCAGAAGATGAATTGCGGCTGAGCTTAATGAAACTGGTAGAGAAACTGACTTCTATGATACATTCCACTAGAATATTTTTGTTGCATGGTTTAATTTTCTGAGTGCTTTAATAAATAGTGGTAGGATAATATTGTGTGAGGGAATTTCGATACTGTATGCTCAAATATGTTAAAGTTAGCCATGATATTTCCCAAAAGTGTGGAGTATTTACAAGCAATTGCTTCCTCTCAAATTTAGGTTCTTCAGTTGAACATTTTTAACTGCACATTTTTTTACATGTAGAAATGTATACGTTATAATAACACATTTATATACACCCATAGATACACTCACACATAAATACATATATACTCATAAATATATATATTGTTGTTAGTTGCCATTCAGTAGGCTCAGACTCCTGAAGAATAGCCTTTTTGGATTAAAGGAAACTTGCAGTCAGGCTTTGTTTAATTCCAAGCCTAGACAGTTTTCCTTAACTGTAATTTCTGCATCTATACTCTGTGGTGTCATACTGGAGACCAGCATCCATTTCCTATACCAAACCCTGAGAATACTTATTTCTGTATTGCATTTTAACTAGCATTTCAAGGTTACCAGGTAACATTAGATGTGGTAGAAAAATTTTTGAAGTTAATATTATAAGTATTTTATTAGTAGCTTATTTAGCAGGCATAATTGCTAAATCATAATTAATTTTAAAAACTGAATTATAAGTGGTATGATTTAATATCTGCCTGAAAAAATTTAGATGGTTTCCTTTTTTATTTATAGACTTCATTTCCTTGCAAACTTAGTAATAAAGGTTTAAATGGCGTAAGTGAGAGAGGTTTTGAAGTTAACATCTTTGAAAAGGAAATTTCTATCAAAGAATTTCTCAAATCCTTCAGTATAACATGTTGCTCTTTTTTTTATAAAGACCAAATCTTAAAGGTTAGTTTCCTTCTGATCAGTCTTTAATGGGTTTGTTTATTTGCACTTCATGCTGTTTTCTGAGTTAAACTGCAGTTATACTAACTAAAACTAGCTGTGGCTTCTTGCCTAGATAAGTCACATGAGGGACTCTGAATTCAGGTAGCCTCAAAAGTTCTATAGCTAATAAACCTGTTGCCGTCAAGTTGACTCTGACTCATAGGGACCCTATAGGACAGAGTAGAACTGCCCCATAGGGTTTCCAAGTCTATAAATCTTTATGCCCGCAAAGCGGCTCATAGGTTCGAACCTCCGACCTTTCGGTTAGCAGCCGAGCACTTAACCACTGCGCCACCAGGGCTCCTTTTATATCTAATAAGCCCTTTCTGTAAAATTTGACAGTCACTTCTCAGTTTTTATGTTAATATTAGCTTTCTGTGTAAATTAAGACTATTAGATGCTATGATGAAACCTGCCATTATAATTGATAAACTCTTAATATGTAACACAACATCTCGAAGTGTCCTAGATGAGATCAGATGGAATAAGAAAGTATGTGTGTTGTGTGTATTTTGTGTATGAAATTAGTTTTTGGTCAATAATAAGTATATAATTTTTCTTAAAAGTATATATAAGATTCTTTAGTTTTCATTTGAGAAATGAAAATACACTGTTATGGTATAGACAATAAAATGAGGACAAGGAAGTTTTATGTTTGTTAAAACATAAATGTAAAATAGATAAATGTCATAGGTAGTATTCTGATTAATTTAAGACTTTCTTCATTTGATTACTATATTAGAGGTTTAAAAAGTGATATAAAAATGATTTTTCTTAGATTTTCTTTTTCATTACTGTACAAGGAATTGTCAAAGAAGGTATTCTTTGAGGTAATCCTCTTTATTACAGAATGTATTGACTTGAAAATGTGCTCAGAGAAATGCTAAGCTCTAAATAAAGACTTAAAGGAAAGCTGGCAATACACTGTTGCCCTTCTTAATAAGCAGTTTATAGCAGCTATGCATTATTAAGCAGAAATATGATTTGGAGACTTTTTATTTTTTACTTTAAGCAGCAGAGACTCAGAAGATTTAAAATACTTTTAGTGATTTTACTAGAGTTAGTCTTGGTGTTTAAAAAAGATAATATGCATTATATACTACACTAGCATTTTGGGCTGTGTCATACTTTTCCTTGTTACTATAAGTACAGATGTTATAGTATATTATTTTCATTCATCGAAACAAAAGTTGTATTCTTTTTGCATCAACCTTGATCTTGTCCTTTACTGTTTATTTATTTTTGAGTATAAAAAACAGTAAGTTCTGGCCCCTTCTTTGTTTCCTTTTTGTTGTTGTTGGGGGGTGGGCAACATAATGTATGTATCTGTGAAGAGAAAATATTTAATTTTATTGAACTAATAAATAAAAATGCTTCATTATATCTACAAAGAAGAGTTGTAAAGAGGTTTGGAGGATGTATTCTACTTATACTTACTTTGATGAAATTAGAATGTGCTTTTGTATAACAGTAATATACATTTATTTTAGAAAATTTAGAAAAACTGGAAAATATGATGAAAATTAAGTCATCTGTAATCTAATCACTTAGTTATCCACTATTAACATTTTGTAATTTTTACTTCCTGCCTTTTTAAATGCAAACATGTATATACTTTCTAAAACAGAATTGGGATCATGTTGTATGACTTTTGTGCTACCATATGAGTTTTGTATCTTGCTCCTTTCACTTAGCATGTCTGAACATTTATTCATGTTGTTAACTGTTCTTGTTTTGTTTTTTAACTTGTGTTTAAGTGGCTGCATGGTATTTTGTTACTTAGATCTACATGAAAGGCAGTACAGTATAGTGGACTCTAGAGCCAGACTTCCTGGCTTCAAATCCAAGCTCTTCTGCTTACTAGCTGTGAGACCTTGGGCAAGTTATTTTCTTTCCCTGTGCCTCAGTTTCCTCATGTGTAAAAGGAGGGCAATAATAATAC